TTTTGAAGAGACAGCGCCCCGCGTCCCACCTCCTTCCTCCTTCCTCCTCCTCCCCTCTCCCCCCTCCTCCCCACCCCCTCTCCTCCTTCCTCCCCCTCCTTCCTTCGTTTCGTAGCCCCATAGGGTGCTCCACCGGAGGCCCCAGTGGGGGTGCCCGCATGCGGTTCCCCCACCCAGGGCAGCGTTCCGTGGCCCCATAGGGAGCTCCACCGCAGGCCCCAGTGGGGGTGCCCGCATGCGGTTCCCCCACCCAGTGCAGCGTTTCGTAGCCCCACAGGGAGCTCCACCGAAGGATCCAGTGGGGGTGCCCGCATGCGGTTCCCCCACCCAGTGCAGCGTTTCGTAGCCCCATAGGGAGTTTCACCGAGGGCCCCACTGGGGGTGCCCGCATGCGGTTCCCCCACCCAGGGCAGCGCTTCGTGGCCCCATAGAGAGCTCCACCGAAAGCCCCAGTGGGGGTGCCCGCATGCGGCTCCCCCGCCCAGGGCAGCGTTTCGTGGCCCCACAGGGAGCTCCACCGCGGGCCCCAGTGGGGGTGCCCGCATGCGATTCCTCACCCAGGGCAGCGTTTCGTGGTCCCATAGGGGGCTCCACCGAAGGCCCCAGTGGGGGTGCCCGCATACGGTTTCCCCACACAGGGCTACGTTAAGTGGCCCCACAGGGAGCTCCACCGCAGGCCCCAGTGGGTGCCCGCATGCGGTTCCCCCACCCAGGGCAGCGTTTCTTGGCCCCACAGGGAGCTCCACCGTAGGCACCAGTGGGGGTGCCCGCATGCGGTTCCCCCACCCAGCGCAGCGTTTCGTAGCCCCAGTGGGGGTGCTCGCATGCGGTTCCCCCAGCCAGGGCAGCGCTTCGTGGCCCCATAGGGGGCTCCACCGAAGGCCCCAATGGGGGTGCCCGCACGCGGTTCCCCCGCCCAGGGCAGCGTTTCGTGGCCCCATAAGGAGCTCCACCGAAGGCCCCAGTGGGGTTGCCCGTTCCCCCACCCAGGGCAGCGTTTCGTGGCCCCACAAGGAGCTCCACCGTATGCCCCAGTGGGGGTGCCCGCACGCGGTTCCCCCACCCAGGGCAGCGTTTCGTGGCCCCATAAGGAGCTCCACTGGAGGCCCCAGCGGGGGTGCCCGCATGCGGTTCCCCACCACCACCACTGTGGCAGGCCCCTCACACAGTTCGTGGCCCCATAAGGAGCTCCACCGAGGACTATATGCACAACTGCGGTACTCACAACTGCATATGGTTGGGTCCTTCGCTAAGCTAATTCCTGCTCCAGACGGCTCCAAGATGGCCTCCAAATTCGCCCAAGATGGTCCAAGATGGCCTCCAAGACGGTCCAAGAGAGTACAAGATGCCTCCAAGTTCGCACAAGAAACCTCTAAGGCGGACCAAGACGGCCCCGAAGGCCTCCAAGAGGCCTCCAAGACGGCCCACGAGGCCTCCAAGACGTCCTCCATGAAGGATTTTGGCATTTTCTTCTTATCAGCTCTCCGACGGCCCAAGACGGCCCAAGATGCCCCCAACATCGTCCCAAGAGCGCCCAAGAGGCCTCCAAGATGGCCCCATGACAGCCCAAGAGGCCCTCAAGAGGGCCCCAAGAAGAGCCCAAGACGGCCCAAGATGGCCCCCACGACGCCTAAGGTGGCCTCCAAGACGGCCAAGATGGCCTGCAAGACTGCCAAGAAGGCCTCCAAGACGGCGAACATGGCCCCAAGATGCACCCACAACGGCCCCAAATGACCTGAAGATGGCCTTAGACTGCCCAAAAGACCCGCCAGAGGCCTCCAAGACAGCCCCAAACCCCGCCAAAACGTCCTCCAGGAGGCCCGAAAGCTCGGAAACCACCTGGTCCGATAGCTCGCCCCACTCCGTGTTCCCCGAAGGCTTTCGAAACCTACTCGGGGAACGCGTGGCCCGATAGCTTGGCCAAGCTTAAACCCAACTTTCGGCCACGCAGGCGCTTCCAAAAAGGCAGGGGGCGGCGGTGATTCGCCGTAGGCGTTTTCGATCCGCCGCCCCCTGTTGACTTGCCACAGGGGTGCCTTGCGTGCTAGATGTCCTGAGGATGTTGGTTCTTTTAAAACTCTCCCTGGGGCTTCGGCCCAGCGCGACGGCCACCTGGAAGGCTTGCCCTGCCCAACGGTGGTTGCCAACGCTTTTCCCGCTCCAGATGGTTCCAATATGGCCAAAGATGGCCTCCAAAGACGGCCACGATGGCCTTCAAGTTCGCCCGAAATGGTCCAATATGGCCTCCACGACGGCCCCAAGATGCCTCCCAGTTTGCCCAAGAAGCCTCCAAGACGGCCAAGATGGCCTCAAGATGACGGCAGACGGCCCAAGAGGCCCCCAAGAGGCCTCCAAGACGGCCCAAGAGACCTCAAGAGGTCCTCCAGGAAGGCCCGAAGAGGCCCAAATCATTGTTTTTCCTGATGTTCTTGACGGGTTTTTGCATGCGCTTCTTTTCGGCATCGGGACGGTCCAAGACGGCCTCAGGGGCCCCCGAGATCGCCTCCAGATGGCCCTTGCGGCCTCCAAGATCGCTCCAGAAGGTCCTGGGAGGTCCCCGAGACGCCCAAGATGGCCTCCAAGACGGCCCTGGAACACCTCAAGAGGGCCCCGAGTCGGCCCAGAGAGGCCCCCGAGACGGCTTCCGACGGCGTCAGACGGGCCAGGAACGCCCCAAGACGGCCCAGCGCTCGGCCACATGGGCGATTCCAAAAGGCAAGGGACGGCGGTGATTCACCGTACACCCTGCGAAATGCTTAAGAAATCATGGGTTAAGAAATTCATAGTCTCAGAACTTGAATAAAACCCCGACATTCCCATTCGAATCTTAGGATTTACATTGAAACATTAAGAATAATCGAGACCCTGGCCGAAAATTTAAGTTTTCTTAAGCATCGCCTAAAGTGTAGGCGTCTTCGATAGGGTCAACAACTCTTGCTCCGCGTGTCGCGGCGGCGGCGGCCCCGGCCCCCTGCGACGCGCCGTGCCCTGCGAGCTGATAGCGCGTCGCTCCACCTCGCGAGGCGGCAAGCTGGAGGAGGAGGAGGAGGAGGAGGAGGAGGAGGAGGAGGAGGAGGAGGAGGAGGAGGAGGAGGAGGAGTGGCTGGCGTGTCGTGCCGCCGCGTGGGGCAGAGCCGGCGGGGCGACACGCTAAGCAGAAGTTCGGGGCCGTAAGTGGCCCCGGCAAAGGGCGCGGCCATCTGCAGTTGTGGGTGCCGCAGCGGTGCGCATCCTCTTCGGTGGAGCTCCCTATGGGGCCACGAAGCGTGCCAGGGGTGTGCCCACATGGGCGGAGAGGGCGCATATGGTCACAGCCACTGGGGACTTCGGTGGAGCTCACGATGGGGCCACGAAACGTGTGAGTGGTGTGCCGAGATGGGTGGTTCTGGACGCATGTGGTCAGAGCCACTGGGGCCGTCCGTGGAGCTCCCCATGGGGCCACGCAACGTGTGAGTGGTGTGCCGAGATGGGTGGCGGGGGCGCATGTCGTCACAGCCACTGGGGCCTTCGGTGGAGCTCCCTATGGGGCCACGAAGCGTGTGAGGGGTGTGCGGACATGGATGGCACGGACGAATGTGGTCACAGCCACTGGGGACTTTGATGGAGTTCTCTATGGGAGCACGGAACGTGTAAGGGGTGTGCCGAAATGAATGGCGGGGACGCATGTGGTCACAGCCACTGTCGGCCTTCGGGGGAGCTCCCTGTGGGGTCACGACGCGTGTGAGAGGTATGCCGAAATGGGTGGTGGGGACGCACGTGGTCACAGGCACTGGGACCTTCGGTGGAGCTCCCAATGGGGCCACGAAACGTGTGAGGGATGTGCCGACATGGGTGGCGGGGACGCATGTGGTCACAGCTACTGGGGCCGTCGGTGGAATTCCCTATGGGGCCACGCAACGTGTGAGGGGTGTGCCAACATGGGATGGAGGATGGAGGGGGAGGAGGAGAGGAGGAGGAGGAGGAGGAGGATTGGGAGGGGTGTGCCAAGTGGTGGGCCGAATTTGGTGGCGGGACGCATGTCGTCACAGCCACTGGGGCTGGTGACGCATGTGGTCATAGCCACTGAGGCCCCAGTGGCTGTGGCCACAAGCGTCCCTACCTCCCATTTCGGCACACTTCTCACGCGCCACGTGACCCCACAGGGGGCTCCCCCGAAGGCCCCAGTGGCTGTGACCACATGCGTCCCCGCCACTCATTTCGGCACACCCATTACACGTTTCGCGCTCCCATTGGGAACTCAATCGAAGGCCCCATGATTGTGACCACATGCGTCCCCGCCGCCCATTTCTTCGGCACACCCCTCACACGCTTCGTGGCCCCATAGGGAGCCCCACCGAAGGCCCCAGTGGCTGTGACCACATGCGCCCCCGCCACCCATGTCGGCACACTCCTCACATGTTCGGGGCTCCATACAGGGCTCCACCGAAGGCCGTCCGTGGAGCTCCCCATGGGGCCACGCAACGTGTGAGTGGTGTGCCGAAATGAGTGGCGGGGACGCATGTCGTCACAGCCACTGGCCACTGGGGCCTTCGATGGAGCTCCCAATGGGGCCACGGAGCGTGTGGGGGGTGTGCCGACATGGGTGGCGGGGACGCATGTGATCACAGCCACTGGGGCCGTCGGTGGAATTCCCAATGGGGCCACGAGACGTGCGAGGGATGTGCCAACATGGGATGGAGGATTGGGGGGGGAGGAGGAGAAGGAATGCGGGGCGCTGTTTCTTCAAAACGAGGACCCAACACCACAGGATGGTTGGGAACAAAAGCAGTGTGAGGATTCAGCACATTGGTACGTTCAAAAGGAAACAGTCACAGTGGCAACATGCCAACACAGCTGGGATATGTGGCCAAGAGCATGCCGAACAGGCAGGGATGCAAGGGTTGCCTTAGTGAAATGCCGCACCTGTGCAACAGCCGAACGTATGATTAAGAGCATTGCCACTTTAGAAACCTGGGTCAGATTTCCGAGGTGTCTTAGAATCAACCTGGGCCACCTTATTTGTTCACGCTGGAGGGACAAACGTGCTGAAGAAACTGGGCCAGCTTTCAAGCAATTTGGTCAAGAATTGCTGGCACAGCTCTCCAAGAGCTGTTAATCATATGCCTGACTGTAAGGGCTTGACTGTACACTGGCGTTGTGAGGTCGGTGCGAGGGACAAGGACGAGCAGAGGGAAGCCCAGGGAGAACCAGCGCGCCGAGGGCGTGAGCTGGACCGCGAGGCAAGTTGCAAACGGCCAGGGATGGCAGAGTATAGTCAAACACCCTAATAAGGACGCGCGGTAAGGACGCAAGACCCTTGAAAGCCGAAGTTGGAATTTTTGGGGCGGCGGACGACGAAAACCTCAGGGACGCAAGAGCAAGGAAGAGCAAGGACGCAAGGGTACCCTGAGCAAAGTCGCGCGTCCTTATCAGGGTTTTTGACTGTCTGGTCTAGTCGAAAGGGCGGGCATCTTCTGATTTTTCATAGGCCTTGCTGCTCTGTGGCTGTCGCAGTCCCGCAGCCAAGAGGCCCGTCTGTACGAGGGCTTGGCTGGGCCCAACATGTCAGGCTCTCTCGTCGCTGCACCAAAGGAACCTGCCGAACAGCTCGTCAGTCTGCGGCCTGCAAGGATTATGCAAGGAAGCGTCCTGGGAAGACAAATGGATGTTCGATACTCTCCAGGCGACGACGAATCCAACACGTTCTCCACAAAATGCAGATCACATACAATGTGCCGGCTCTTGAATATATTTGCGCTGGCCTGTAACGAACGCCAGCCTTTGTGCGCGCCCATGTCGGCTGGCGTTCAGAAGGCTCCTACAACCAAACACTGTCCAAACGCCAACGTCAATATCTGCTGTATTGCAGTTTGGCGGACGGGCAATGTGGCAGGTTCTTCGTGGAAAAACAGGCATTGACATACTTACGATGGTACACGGGGTGGCATAATGCCAGCCGCCCGTCACCTTTGCATGGTGATGGCAAGAACTTGCCGAAAGCGAACGAACATTGCATGGCGCTCAAAAGCTCTCCTTCATGATCCGGAAAAGGATGTCCTGGTCGGAGTAGGCTTGGCTGCTCCTCGTGAGGTCCTTGCCGATGGCGGGTGCACCGCAGAAAAACACACCGACTTGGGGGGCCTCGCCTTCGGGAGACTTCCGCTTGTGAACGCCCTTCACGTGCTCGAACAGCGCTTTCCACTGTGGCCTGCCGTTCCACACAAACGTGTGGCCCACCTGGTTGGGCCTGCTCTTCTCGGGTTTCTGCAACACTTCCTTCATGTCGTCGCTCTTTGTCTTCGGGTGCTTCATCCACGCCATCAGCTCTGCCTGGGTGTAAGGCCGCTGCGCAGCAGTCTGATCTCCGTGGAGCTGGATCTTCTTGGGGTTGCGCGGAGGGCCTTTCGCCTGGAGGAGGGTGGCGAGGACGAGGACGAGGACGAGGACGAGGACGGTGATGATGATGATGATGATGATGATGATGATGATGATGATGATGATGATGATGGTGATGATGATGATGATGGTGATGATGATGATGGTGATGATGATGGTGATGATGATGAAGGAGGAGGATGAGGAGACGGACGTCTCTCTCGCTGGCCTGGGGGTCCTCAGCGTTCGGAGCCCGAGTAACGAAGAGGTGCATCTGCACGAGTCGGTCTGGCTGGGCGGGCGCCGTCACACCGGCCGCCGGTTGCCCGTGCTTCCTCGCGTTGACCTCGGCGGCTACCTGTCGAGGCAACCCAACCTCTAATGATGTGGTGCCGACCTGGATTAAGACATGGCCAGAATATGAAATGTGGACAGGCCCCCGACCTCGGACGGAGACCGCCGTGGCAATTCTGCGAACTCTTCCTGGGAAACCTTCCTCAAGAAGGTTGGACATTCCCTGGGAAATTTGTTCCAAGCCCCTAGGGGGGTTTGGGAGACATGGTGTTTGTGTCGGCGAATCCATTTTTGTTTGGCCTGGTGGATCTTTGTATGGCCAGAGGTTCTCCAGAACACATAGGTCGTCGGGAACGCTGAAGGGAGGGGGGGCCTGGCTACAGGCACAGGTCCCTGCCTCCTCGCCTGGGCGCCTCTTAACGGTCTCTCTTGGGGTCTCTTGAAAGCTTCTTGGAGCTTCCTCAGAGCTTCAGAAGAGGGTGAAACCCTCCCGAGGAGGGAGCGAGCTTTCTCAAGATGGGAACCCTTCCTCGAAAAGGAAGCGACATGCCCAGGAAAGCAGCCGTTCCTCTGGATGGAAAAGACTTCCTCAGGGCGGAAACGCATTTCTCATAGAGGAAAATACATCGGAGGAGTGTCTTTCGTTCCCGACGAAGGAAAACCTTCCTGGGGAGGGAGAAAAGTACCTTCCCCAGAGGGGAAATCAACAGGAGGGAAGCACATTCCTGAGGAGGGGAAGAAACGTCTTCAGGAGGGAACGCCTTCTGCGGGAGGGAAACCTTTTCTTAGGAGGGAAGAGCCCCTTCCCATTAAGGGAACGCCTGTCCCAGTAGGAAAATCACCAGGAAGAAAACTCTTCAGGGGAGAAAAAATGTTCCCCAAGAGGGGAAGCCTTCCCCAACACGGAACCACTTCCTAGGAAGGAATCGCCCCTCGGGAAGGAAACACATTCCTGAGGAAAGTGGCTCCGTACGGCGCCGAGAGAGAACTTGCCCGAGGACAGAAACTACGCCTCAGGGGGGGGCTTCCCTAAGAAAGAATGACTTCCTCAAACATGGAAGCACATTTCCGACTAATGTTTCCTGCCTCGTGAGCGAATCGCTGTCCTGATGAGGGGGGATGTCCTCGGGAAAGAAATCCTCCCCTGGCAGGGGAAACCCTTCTTTAAAACGGGGGGTCCGTCGTCAACCAATGAGAACCTTCCTCCATGTGGAACCGACTTTCCCTGAAGGGATACTCCTTCCCCAATGCGGAAGCATACTCCTCTGGAGTGGAAGGACACTCCTGAGGAACGCGTGTCGTTCCCGAAAATCCGCCGACCCTGTCGGCGTGTGCGAGGGGCTTCCTCGTCCGAATCGTCTTCGCTGTTCGGATTGACAGCGTTGTGTTTTCGTTGTTCGGATCGTCATCGTTGTCCATGCCGTTGTAGATTCGAAGGGAAGCCCCTTTCCTTTGATCCCTTCCCCAGGGGGGGGGGGGGTCCCGCGGGGGGGTGGGGGGGGGGGGCCAGCATCACTTCCCAGCCACCCCCCCCGCCCCCTTCGGATGCACCCCCAAGCGGCGAGTCCCCAGCTTCTGTTTTCCTGCTGCTTATGCTTCGGCTTTGCGACGCCCCCGAATGACGTTCAACGTATTGGATTGTAGACTCCCAGGATGAACAGAAATAGCAACCATTCTGAGAAGGCGGGGATTTTTTTTTAAACATTGAGGGGCGAGGCAGAATTTTTAAAATTTTTGAAAATTTTAAAAATCGTGCTATTTTGCCTGATCCCTGATTTCCCAGATCCTGGGCCCAAGTTGCGATCCGAGGGCCCAGGGCCCAGGCAAAATAGCAAAATTTTTAAAATTTTTAAAATTTTTAAAAATTTTGCTATTTTGCCTGATCCCTGATTTCCCAGATCCTAGGCCCAAGTTGCGATCCGCTGGCCCAGGGCCCAGGCAAAATAGCAAAATTTTTAAAATTTTTAAAATTTTTAAAAATTTTGCTATTTTGCCTGATCCCTGATTTCCCAGATCCTGGGCCCAAGTTGCGATCCGAGGGCCCAGGGCCCAGGCAAAAAAAAAAAGAATTTTGCTATTTTGCCTGATCCCTGATTTCCCAGATCCTGGGCCCAAGTTGCGATCCGAGGACCCAGGGCCCAGGCAAAATAGCAGATTTATAAACATGTTTCAAATTTATAAGAAGTTTGCTGTTTGCCTGATCCCTGGTTTTCCATATCCTGGACCCGGACGTCTCTCCCAGGGCCCAGGGACCAGGCAAAATAGCAGATTTAAGAACAACGAATAATTGTTTGTTTCTGTGTTACCTGATCCCTGGTGTTCCAGATCCCTTGTAGTGAGAAGGCGGTGTTAACAGTGAGATGTGATGGCGTCGTCCAGCCGCGCTGCCGCATGGACGTCGCCGCGTGCATAGCACATGTGAGCTTATCACAAAAATCTACAATAATATCAGGCGTCATTTTGTTCAATCACGCTGCCACATGGAGTCTGGTCCGTGCAGAATACATTGTTTTTTGCATGAAAGAGTAAGCAAAACAGCACGACAAAACAACACAAAACAACATAAGTTTTTGTTCGGCTGTTTTGGGCGTTTTCATATGCAACAAACAATACATTCTGCACGCTGCAGCTCTTACCTGGCAGCGTGATTGAACAAAACGGCGCCTTCATTTTTCGTTATATCAAATGTTGTTAACGCGTTGTGCCCCCTGCCTCTTCCATAGCGCAACGTGTTCGGACACAGCGGTTACGACACATGGGTGCAAGGTGTTGTGCGTGCGAGGTGGGCCCAGCGGGGCTCGGACGCGCGCGCGGGGAGTTTCTGCCGCGATGCGACTAAAAAGCTTGCAAGGTGTTGTGCGTATCCCACCAGCCCTCTGGGCGTAGGTGGTCTAGAGCAGATCCTCTTCCACCCCTCCCTCTTCCCCCTTGGGGAGGGGTTTACCCCTCCCCCTACCCCCTCCCCTGGACCTGGACGGGGGGGGCCGCGGGTAGTTAGAGCGTCCAAGATGGCCCAAGACGGCTCCAAGAGCGCCTCAGAGAACCCAAGATGAGCTCCAAGATGGCTCAAGATAGCGCAAGATCGCTCACGATGGCTCCTAAGATGGTTCCAAGAAGCCCAAAGACGGCCCCAAGATAACTCCAAGTGGCCAAACAGCTCCCCAAGGAGGCCCCGAAGAGGCCAAAATCGTCCCAAAACCTAAGGAAAATCAATGATTTTTGCTTTCTCGCCTTTTCGCTTCCGATGGCCATCCGAGGCCTGGAGATGGCTCCAAGATGGCCCAAGAGGGCCCCAAGAGAGCCCCAAAAGAGCCCCAAGACGGCCCCAAGAGCGCCCAAGAGCACTCCAAGAGCGTTCCAAGAGGGGTCCAAGAGGCGATTTTAGGGGCTTCCGAGGGGGGACGCTAATTAAACCCCCCCTCTTGTTTGATCGACTCCCTCCAAGATGGCCCCAAAAGCGCCCCGAAGGCTCCCCAGAGCGCCTCAAGAGGGTCCCAAGAGGCGCCCAAGATGCCCCAAGGCGCCCAAAAAGCCCTCCAAGAGGCCCTCAAAAGACCCCCAAGAAGCTCCTTCCCCTCCTCCTCCTCCTCCTCCGATTCTTCCTCCTTCTCCGTCCTCCTCCTCCTCCTCCTCCTCCTCCTCTTCCCCCTCCTCCTCCTCCTCCTCCTCCGACGACGACGACGACGACGACGACTCCTCTTCCATCCTCCCCCTCTCGGGGTCTGTGACAGCTTCCCCCGCCCTTTGTTATTCTGCATGCTCCCCGACTTCCCTGATCACCCCAACTCCCCTGAGCATCGTTTCTGGATGGGCTGGTGGGGATACGCGAAGCGTCAACAATTTAGATATTCCCACTGTGCTTCTAGTACAGCATATATCATATCTAGCATATAGTATATGTATATATGTAAATATATATGAATATATATATATATATATATATATATATTCATATATACATATATATATATGTATACATAAATACTGAACGATAATTAACACTATATATAATACAATTTATATGTGTGAATAAATGAACGCAGACGCGCGTGCGTCGGAGGATGCATATGTGGATAAGGAGAATTTGTTTGCTTAACGAAGAGGAGGATGACGAGGGGGAGGAGGTGGAGAGCGAATGCCGATGAGTCGAGGATGCCGAGGAGGTTTTGTTTGCTTTTAGCCGAGGGCGCGGCTCGGAACACTGGAACTGCATGCCCGTGCGCCCCAGGCGGGGCTCGCGTAGTCAATCTACTTGCTTCGCGGATCATCGTTCCATGCGTACCAGATCAAAATGATATTGGACCGGTTCCACGCCTCGTACTTCTCACGTGTCCCACGACCGCGCGTCACGCCGTCCTGCGCTGGGCCAGGGATGGTGCCGCTGGCGCTTGCGGCGCTGGCGAAGCATCAGCCCGCGGGCCTTGCAGCGGCGGGGGCGGCCGACGTGGAGCAGGCCCAAGACGCCGACGACGAGGCCACCGACGACGAGGCGCCTCGTGAGAGCGCAGCCAAACGGCCTCGTAAGGGCTCCAAGTTCGACCAGGAGCTGAACGCCATGGCCGTCAAAGCTTCCGTGCCTGCTGCTCAGCACGCGCAGGCTGTGGTCGCTTGTGAAGTCATGTTTCGGGTGCTCGCCATTAGCAGTTTCGTTATTCAGGTGGCCGATGCCCTTCCGAGGCGCCGCGGGCCACCACGGGTCAGCAACAGGACGGCCGCAGGGCCACCGCGGGACACCGGCGGGGCAACCCGGGACAACCACGCGGCAACGATTGGAAATTGCAGGGCGGGACCTCCACGGGGAGGCGCGGCGGAAAGTGGCGAGCCATTTGTGCAAGGTCGACCTCGCCAGTCTCCTGAGCTACGATCTCGTGGAATACGGCATATGCGAACACCGTCGGCTGCTCACTAAGAGGCGCAAGCGCCGGGGAAAGAAGACCCTTCCAGACTCACACTTCTACCGCACCCACGTCGACGGAATCCGCAAGGCGCGGGCCCAGATGGTCAAGGCACTTAAGCAGAAATACAAGTACAGGTGATCGTCGCGCGCAGCTGCTCTGTCCGGTTTCACCCAGAAAAAAGCATTGGGGCGAGGAGGGGCGGAGGAGGGGGGGCGCGGGGAAAAATACAGATCACAGTAAACATATACTCCAACTACATACATACACATATTCACACACACACACACATATATATATATATATATATATATATATATATATTAATATACATACATATATATGTATATATATGTAGATATACATATTCATATCTATAGTGTTGTA